AGAGTAGGGTGGAGGGTTAAAGGGAAGAAGTTTTATAAAATTAAACCTGGATATTAACCTTATGACATTGGATTATATGAAGAATGAAGTGTTAATTTGAAATTTTAAGAGAGGAATAAAAAGGTATATATATATATATATATATATATATATATATATATATATATATATATATATATAGAGAGAGAGAGAGAGAGAGAGAGAGAGAGAGAGAGAGTTATATTTAAAAATCAAAATCATACTTAAATACTATTGGAAAGACAAGTTATATTGAAAAATATTTAAATAATTTATATTGAAAATAAGTAAAATTATATTAAAAAATAAGTTATATTTAATATAAAATCAATAGGTTATATTAAAGAACAAAAATATATTTAGAAATAAAAGTAAGATAAAATAAATTATACATTTAAAAATAAAAATATAATGAAATATATAAAAAAATAAAATAAAACATTTAGCTTTAAAGATAAGTTAAATCTAAAAAGTTATACTTAAAAATACAGAGTTATACTCAAAAATAACCCTAAAATATATAAATAAAGAGATGTAAGTGATAAAAGGAAAGAGATTTCTTAGCACAGGGGACAATTATAAGATATAATTAATATGGTGTAAAAATGGAAATATAGAAAGTAGAATTGGTTATACATTCAACATTTGAAGAGTTAGAAAAATATAGTAGCTAATAAAGTAAAACCTATATCATAGAAATTTGAATTTGTTTTTATGTCAACATTTTAATACTAATTCATTCCTCTGATTTAATAGTTGGCTTTGATTAATGTATTTTATTATTCTAATTTTTTTCTTCTAAACATAAGTTACACCTATCTCCAAGACTATCAGGAGTATGTGCAGAATCTATAATCTTCCAAACTATTTGTGGGTTCAAACTTTTCTCCTTTAATTCTCAAAATTTCTTTGAAAGAGTTGTCTTGTGTTTTAATTTAAGGTTAGTAAATGAGTGCCTATGAGTATAAAATCTGTTTTCATTCCCCCACATAAATTCCAATGTAAACATTATAATTTTTCATATTTTCTTTGGGGGAAATGGTTGCTTGATATATAACTCTGGTATATCTGCATTTGCCTTTTACTGGACAATTTTCTTTATATCTACAATTACAGGAGGGTTCAATATCAGGTTTGTTGTTTATCCCATAGAAACTTCTTAAAATATAGTTGTTATGTGAGTTGATACTTTTATACATGTTACTGGTACAGGAGTATCTAATTTTAATCGTTTTCCTATTGAAGATCTTACTTAGAGGGTTGTTTTTATGAAAGTATTTATTTAGAAAATACTGTTTGATATTAATGTTTGATAGTTTGCAGATGAGTGGGGTTTGAACCATATCATTTTTCTTTTTCTATGTCTACATTTCACTTTAGATATTTCAGTGTTACTTGTGGGAGTTAGATAAGATAATTTATTTTTAAAACCACATTTACGGAGATCATTTTCATACAATTCTTTATTTTTATTAAAGATGCTTATGTTGGATGATAATCGACTAATCCTAATGCCGACAGTGGTAGGCATCTGTTTCACAATGGCATTGAGGTGGTTAGAATTAACATTAATATAGGTGTGTGTGTGGGGAGGGGTCATTTTCATTATGGAATGCTTTAAATATTTTATTATTAAGGTTAAGAATGATGTCTAGATAATCAACTATTTTAAGGGTAGAAGAAATCTCATTCCTAAATCCTAGTAATTTAAAGGCCCTAATGATTTTCTTTTGTATCTTTGCTGTTAGTGAACCATTACTATTGGGGATAAAAATGAGTCCATCATCTCTGTATAGGCCTATCTGTTTGGGATCTACAATTCTACTAAGTGTATCTAAAATATAAAAAAACATACTAAATCAGAAACCTGGGCTGATTCATATGCCCCCATAGAGACATCAAAATCGTCATTAAGGCACTTAGTCCAGGTGGAATTGTTAAGAGCTAACAGTGATTTCCTAGTTGGTAAGATGAATATTACTCTTCTCATCCATGATCTCCATATAGTTTTTTTGCAAATACAATTAACCAAATGATCCTTGGAGATGGAAAAATAGAAATCTAGGATATCAAATTTAATAAATGTAGCTCTTTCTTTATCATCCATAATTGGCAGTCTCATGGTCAATCTTGGAGATCATTCTGTTATATCTATCTAGTTTATACATGTCTGTTATTAGTGATAATTTTATGGTAGTGTGAGGGGTTACATTTATAAATGTTTTTGGATTTGTCATAAAATATTTTAAATTAGGTACCTCAAATAATTCACTAAAAAATCAGTATAGCATAATGATAAAAGGTCCGAAACTTAATAAAAACAAAGTTTCATCATTAAAATGTTTATGTTATTATTAAGAGGAAAGAACAAAGTATTTTTTAGATATTTAAAAAAATTTTTTTCCTTCTTTCTAACACGTTCTAAATTTGGGTAAAAAATCTTGATTTTTTTTTTTCGTTAACTTTTCTTTTACATCTGTTACCCCCCCACCCAAATTAATTTTATGAAATTTTCTAGAATTTCCAAGAGTACGCAAATTGTTTGATATTACTTATAAGCAGGACTCCTTGAAGAAATTAAATCAATTTTTTTTTTTCACAACTACTGCCAACTTTTTAAAAATCTGCTCCAAATCGTAAAATAAAAACTGCAATAAAACTAATTATCTAATTAGATAGGCTTTAATTTGCTTTTATAAAGAATATACATTAAGGACGTTATCTGAAGAAAAACATTTTTTCCATGAATAAAGAATTTTTACAAGAATTGTTTGCATTTTTCTTTTAGTTTTTTCATTTTTCTTTAAATTTTAAAAAAATGTTTTAAAATTCTTCCAAGCAGAATGTGGGGTTGGTTAAGTTTTTAAAAGTGAGGACTTTATGTACTAAGCGAAAATTAAATGCTTAATACAAATAATGCTACAAAAACTTTTTAATATAATTAAAAAAAAATTTTTTTTGTGTCAAAATGTTATATTTTTTTTAGTATGATATCTCATAAGTGACATTATGGTTAAAAGGTCACATATTTCAAAGCTTGTCTCCTTCTTGGGGAAAACCCCTTGACATGTAAAGGTCTTATCTCAGTCTCAATTATTAAATTAAAAATTAAATTGAGATAATAAAATTATCTCATTTATCAATTTAAACAATTAATAACTCAGTGAGATATTTTAATTATTAATATAATAATAATTTTATTAGTTATTATCTCAATTATTAAATTAAAAATCTAATAACTTAATGTAATATTAATAATTAACAAAATTATTTATCATTATCTTAGCTATTAAATAATGAAAGAGATAGAGGTAACTCAATAATGTAAGAAAATTTTATAGTATTTTAAATTATTATAAGAAACAAAAAAAACTTATCTCACTTTTGATGCACTGCACTAAACCTGTCAATACATTCAGCCATCAAATTATCGACAGAGACATGAAAATAACAAGACCCCGAGGTCAAGAAATGTTTGTCTAGAAAATTTTACACTATAAGTAAGTGATTTTTGTTTCAAAACAGATTAATTTAACTTTAAATTTGCTAATTTTATGAAAGTAATGTTTCAGAAATGTATATCTTATTTTAGCAGGATTTTCAAAACCGAAAAATAAGTTCATTTACATTTCTCTAAAAAAAGTAATTGATTGGTTTTCTGAAAGCATAGACTAAAGATCATTCAAATTTCTATCTGAAATACTCGATAGTATTTTTTTCTAGAATTAGAAAATTTAATCCTTTAGCTTTCAACTGAAGCAGTTAGAAAGCTTCAAAAAGGATTTTTCCTTTATGAAAAATACATTTAAACCTTAGGTATACGAATTTTTGGAGGTACCTATTTTAAATTATAATTACTACTATCATTATCACTTCATATCCTCCTCTAACAGCATTAGTATTGCTTTTTACCTCGTCTTTGTTTTCATTATTGTCATTATTTAGTTATTACCACTATTATTACCATTGTCATTATTTATTACCACTTCCATCATTATCATTATTACCACTTCCATCATTATCATTTATTACTACTATTATTATTATTTTAATTTATCATTATTTATTATTTATTACTATTATTATTTTACTACTATTATTATAATTTATTACAACTACTGTTATTATTCATTACTACTACTATTATTATCATTTCATATCCTCCCCAAACACCATAAGTACTGCTTTTTTACCATTATTTTACTTTTACTATTTCCACCATCATTTTTATGTTTGCTATGTCTATTACCATTTGTCATTATTGTCACATTTTTTTACCATTATACTTTCCTTCTCCATCAACATTAAAGCTAAATTTACCGTTAACACACCAATAACTATTATTACCAATTAGAATATCAATTATTAGCACTATCAAGTTAATTTCAATCGTTTACAATACACAAGGAATCAGCATTAAAAAATAAAACCATCATCACAGCCATATTCACATACAGAACCCACCTAAGCAATGTGATGATGTAGGGCCCAGACAAATAGATATGTGCATGTGTGTGTGTGAAGAAGTGTTATTCCATTTGACAACACAGATGGCCAATCTAAATAAAGCCAAGTACACCCCAGCCTACCCCTTGTTTGAAAGAACTTCACTACATACAGTCTCAACACCGAAATAGGATTACAATTGTGTATGTATGTGTACTTGAACAAATGGAAATATATATATATTATCTGCACCTAATCTAGCATTGTTTATATGTGAGTGTGTGAACCATAATGTTTACACCTATATGTATGTATGTATGTCTGTGTGCATATGAGTGTCATCCCAAAACAAACACAGAGGAAAATACTCCCCACTAAACATAATTAAACACAAACTAACATAAATAGATTCAATTTTTAAAAAATAAATCAGTTTGTCTGATGATCGCAAAAGCATGAAACCCAGGGTTACAAACTCATTTCCATACAACTATATATATATATATATATATATATATATATATATTGGTACTTACCGCATAAAAGATTCCACAGAACTATATTTTGAAAGCAGCTTAAAGAGAGAAGAACCAATCATGATGCAAAGCTGAAAAAGAACATATTTAATATCACCCTTTGTCAAAAAAGTTATGAAATTTTAACAAGAGAGACCAATGGAAGTTTGCAATAACTAAAAATTATCACAAGGCAAGAGGAACAAAGGTAAATAGTGAATAACCTATCTAACAAGCTTGTGTAAATGAATGGCAGATCAGGAATGGGAAGGATTTTGGTTTGGTTTGATTTGGTTTGTTTTACGGCATATCCACTTCAGTAGGTTGTTTAATGCAGACAAAATTTTTATTGCTGGTAATTTGTTTTTCTTCAAAAATCTATTTTGGGGAATATTTTTCCTTGAAGAAATCTATAGCTGGTCATATTTTTTTCAAAGAATGTATAGCTGTTTGTATTACTGGTATTTTTTTTTTAAAGTATTGCCGATATTAATTTTTCCTTAAAAAATTATTGCTGGTAATAATTTTTTTTTTTTTATTACAAAGTTTTTCTGGTATTAAAACCTATTTTTACACAAGTTTGGGTGTTAACTATTTGCCCATAGCTGGGACCCTAACAGGTGCAACCACCCCAGGTCAGGGTGGACCCGAGAACCCCAGCAATTAAGAGGTGTTTCCACGCTCCTCAAAACCTCCTGATCAGAGGCCTTGCTGCTGGACATAGTTTATCGTCTTACCCAGGACGCAGATGTAGTTTATCGTCACACACAGGACGGAATTTGGAAGTTGGATTGAGCCTTTTGTTACATTCTGGGTATGAAAATACAATTAACAGAACTCCAGGGTGGGAGTGAGAAGGAGTGTAGCAAAAAAAAAAAAAAAAAAAAAAAGCATTGATTAGCACTACAATTTGTAGAGAGCCAAGATTACCAATTTCTTGAAGGGACTTGGCACATAAAAAAAAGACAAATATATTACTGCTATTATCATTTACTAAAAAGATTTAGATTTTTATTAATCAAATTCCACAATTAAGACTTATAGTATTTCTATAACTTTACTTCTATACAAATAATTTGATATTATTTCCAAAGTAAAACAAAAAGAAAGCAAAGTTGTAACTCACCATAAAAGAAGCAAAGATGATTCCATGAGGAATGGTTGCTTTGGGAATGTTGGCACTTGTTGAAACAGTACTGCTAATAGCACTACTTAGTGCTGGGGTCCACTCAATGACAAACACATACATAGAACCTTCAAATAATGACTGGATCAAGCCAAGGCACAAGATTTTGAAATCTGACAATGAGAATAAGTATATATTTTTTTTATTATTTTCTGCAGTTATCAGGTTGTTATACATTACTTCCAAAGAAAAAAAAAAACAGATTAACAAGGTTAGTCTGGTTGACAATAACTATTGACTAATGAGTTCAATCATCATACAAAATCAACATTAAATAACTGAAGATTATCAATATATTGTAAAATCAAACAACCTACCACAACCAACACTATTTTCATTTTTTTATCATTATTAATTTCCTAATGTATTATCAACTTTTTTTTTTTTAAATGAATCTACTGTTACAGAATGTGAAGGCCATGGCCAAAATGGTCTGCAATTGGCTGGGGTGCCTCATGGGTGTAGTATTCTGACAGGGATGAAACCCTTTATCTGGGTTTTGGAAATGTCCAAAATGGCACAAATTCAACAAAGAATTTTGAAGTGTTGATATGCTTCCCACATCCAGGTTTGAGAGACTAAGACCACACATGCAAGAATGCTAAGCAAATGTGCAACATGCATTCCCATGATGTCATTCCTTTTGCTGCCTCTTAGAATGCAAGCTGCTATGTCTCTAATAAAAAAGAATTAGCAAAAAAGAAAAGAAAAAAGTCCTTTTTATTATTACCACTTTATGCAGTAGTGTGGGAACCCAGAGATGACATGGTATGCAACAGTACTTTTTATATCTAGTTCAAATTAATACCTTTTTATTCTCACAAAAAATATTTTAATAAAATGTTCCAGTCAGTGTACATGTAGATCTGAACAAGTGTTTAATAATTTCTGCAATTCATTATTACAAACACAAAGAAAGACTGGGTATTTTTAATAACTCTAATCTCTCAAGTGTACTTTAGTATCCTATTGTTTAGTCAGAAAATTTTACAAAAAAGTTATATTTTCATCAGCACAAAGTTGATTCTTTTCCCTACCAAAATGTGTGCCACAGATTAAAAGGGCAGCTCTAAAGAATATGCAACTTCCCTATTATCTTTTTAAATATTTTTATTTTTCAAATGCTATAACTTTCTACAAATAACTCACCTCTTAACTTAAAAACTATTCATGGTGACTTATTTCTTTGTAATTTCTTATGCCCCACTCCCTACCCAGTTTACAAATGATGATGATAATGATAGAAAACTTCTTGAAAATGGAATACATAGCCCATTGATGAACCAGAGTAAAAATAGATCAGGTGATATATTTCATAGGGAATGGAGGTTTGACTATATGATAGAACATAAAGCCTTTATTCCAAACAGTTGTAGACAGTTGAATTTTTGGGTTGAATTACTAGTAATTCAACCCTGAAAAAAAAAAAAAAAAAAAAAAAAAAAAAAACCTGACATGTTGGCACTGTGAAGGGACTGGTGACATCTCCACAACTTGTTCAAGGAAGGAGGACCTTGAAAAACTGGCTACTCAGATGCGATCTTGCCATCAAAATCAAATTTGTAATGGACCAACCCACAGCAAACACAAGTAAGCTGTCAACTATTTCCTTTGGAGTGGGGATTACAAAGAAAATGTTGGTGGCTTCTGAGCAGACTGATGGAGAATGGCAGGAAAGATCAAGGAGAAGATCCAAAACTTCAACACCTCAATCTCCATATGGGCCCAAACTAGGAAATGCTAACCATTCCCAAGAATATTGAATGCACAAAATTTGTAGTGGCTGTAGCAATCCAGGTAAAGAGAAATGTGACATTTTGTTGATTTTCAACAAAAGGCTGAAACAAGAGTCAGAAAAAAAAAAAAATGCAAGCAAGGGTGAAGGTGGCAGCTGCCTTCACTGTCCCATTTTTACCTAAACAACAAGCTCCACAGGAAAATAATTCTCATAAATTCACCCCTCAAAAACATGTCAGACACCACTGACACCTCCACTATTACAACCTCTATCTTCATTCCAAACCCACCAACAAGAGGCCAAGAAATCACTATTGCTGGATCAGATGAAAACTTAATCATATAAAAGAATTAAAAAGTACAATCAAAAGGAAAGAAATATGCAGAAATCATCCTCTGACATACTCAAAATAAGAATTGTTATGTATACAGTTGAAGGGACTGAAATGATTAAGAATTCTCCACAATTTTAAATACACTGAATGAAAACAAAGTATGGAGGATTGTCAAAATTTTGCTAACTTGCAGAGTTTGTTCAGTGGTATGAGAAATGGTCTGGGGAACATGAAAAATTATGTTGGAGGAAACTTTTGAAAGTTTTATTTGCATAAAACTTCAAATTTATAAAAATCATCTTATTGTGGACTGAACATTTGTGAATTTTATTTTATTGAACATCTTATTGTGGCTGACATTTGTGAATTTTGAAATGTATCAATAAATTTCCTACAAATTCTAACAAAAGTCCAAAACCCAACCAGAGATGAGCATATATACTCTTTGTTACACTATAGGAAAGAAGTGATGATGATAATCAAGTGTGAATTATGTTAACAGGTAATTATTACCTACCAGTCCGAATAGATATGAGAGCATTGTTCAGAGACTGACTAAGATCAATGTTCTGGTCACCATAATTCTCAGTCCATGCAAACACAATGACCAGAATCATTATTGCAAGAACAGACATGGACACATCAAATGGAGCTCTGTAAATTACAAAAAATAAAGCTTTCTCTAAAAAAACATTAAAAATGATGAAAGAAATATATGCATATTGGAGATTTTCATGGATATACAGTGTAACATAAATATAGATATCTTACATATTTATAAAGCTTTGCTTTGAATATTGCTGGTATTTAGTGTATCTGCTATGTATTTAGAAATTCCTGATAAAATACAAATAAGAATCTGCATTTTCTATAAATAAATTGTTCTAATAAACTTTCTTCTTTGGTACCCAGACTTTATGAATTTGAGTGCAGTGCTAAATTAGCGGCAAGGTCTCAACTTTTTACAGTTCTATGCTAACCATTTCTTCTTTCACACTTCTTGCTTATGTTCCAGCTTCTTGCTTCCTAGTCAACTCTGATCTTCAATCATTATCTTCTGTCTTCTTACTTTTTGTTTTTTTATTGTTCTCTCTTAATAGATTTTTTCTCATATTCTCTTACACTAAGTAACCTCTTGCATCTTAGTGGCTTTATTGCCTCACTTAGGGGGTGAAATAATAAAAAAAAATAAACCAAAGCTTATTACTTAATTAGCACTTCTAATTTTACTTCCCATAGATTATTTCAATAAACATTGAAACAATAACAAAATCTTCCATGTTTTGTTTTTAAAGCAAATATTGATTACAAGCAAATATGTTTTGTAGAATCACATATTTTAAAATTGCCTGATGAACAGGAGTTTTAAGTCATGTAACATTAAATCTATATAAATCTAGCTCAATGCTTCTTCAATGTTTCTTTAACACGTCTCCCAAAATTCTTGTGTTTGGTCATTGAAAAACTGTTTTGCTACTGTTATTACCTCCAAATAACTCTACTGTATTTCTTTCGTAAGAAAATCTGCCTGGGTGCATTATCAGATATCCATCTAGTTAGTATGTAACAAGTGTCTAAGGAGCATTGGATTTCAGGAAATTGCCACAAAGACATGATTATTTATTTAGATATCATCAGCCAGCCACTAAGAAAGAAAAATGTGGGTTTGCTTACTTTGAAAACTGTATATAGCTAACAAAGCATGTCAAATTTTTGATAGACTATATTTGCTAGCCTATAAAACAGAATTAAAAATATATCTCAGAGATCAGAGCAAATTGCAGTAAGCAGTAGCAAAAAAAAAGTTATTGTAAAACATGAAATTGGCTGGTAAATACATTAGCTGGCACAGGAAGAAATGCTTGTAGAATATAAATACTACTGGCTATGTTTATTACTGCTTATGCAAGGTCTATCTGGAAGGTATCCAGATAATTTGAAACATTTGAACACATTTGATGTAACTTGGCAACCAGTCAAAGGGGACTATACAGTACATGCATGAACAGGCACTCTCTAAAGAGAGGTAGTCACTAGTATGATACCACTGAGTGAACTTGTGTAATGTGTGAGTATCACATAGACAATGACCAGGCATGTAAATCAAATATGCATTAAGCTGTGTATTGAAATTTGGACATTTCCCGGACTAAACTATTTGAATAATTAAGGTTTGTGGGATGATTCGGTGAACTAAGTCTAGATAAAATTTGAGTACCAACACTTCAAATTTGGCTGGGAAGAGATTCACACCTTTGAAAGGCTTCAACAAGAACACCTGAAACTGCTGAATGATTGGTAATTAACGGTGTAATATCAATTCCATCTACAGTCTAGATTTGGACTTGACTTTTCCCAAAGTTAACATTGGTGTTAAAAGAGAGTACATTTCAGGCTGTGTACAAGATTAAGGAGAATGATATCTAGCAGCTGATGATCCCAAAAGAGGATTTTGCAGGCTGTTTTACGAAGAAGTGTGTGATGTCACAAAGAGAGTATTTTGTATAGACTAATGTGTCATTGATCTTGGTTGGCTATATTTTTGTTAATATTAAATGACTAGATAAAACTGTATATCAGCCAGTAAAAAATTAAAAACAAAATCTTGAATATAACTATCAGCTATTGAAATATCTATCATGACAAACATTTTAGACTGAAAAAGAATGGTAAGTAATTACTTACACAAATCCAAACATGTCAGCAACAAATTGAGCCACCAAACCCATAGCAATTGCAATTAAAGAATTACCAAGAACAGCTGAGCTGAAAATGCTGCCTAAGAGATTTTGGTCAAAGTTTTTCTGAAATGGGGAAAAAAAATCTTAATTAAAGGAAATATCTGAAATAAAGAAATAGACTATGACTTAAAGGTATTTAACACAATTGGTATAATTTGATCTTGCTGGTGATCTTTATTAGATGTAATTGCAAAAATAACATTAAGAAACCCTAATCAACAGAGACCATACTAATAGGCTTAGTTTAACTAGCTATATTAATAATGAATATTTGTATATTTTATTAAAATAAACATTAGTATTCTGTAAAACTGTCAATTGCTGATGGGCTAATTTTTTAGTTTCCATATAATCTGTAATGGTTAATATATTCTTCAGAATCCATTTAATACCTTTGACCAAATGATGATATAAGAATTAAATCCTGTATATATTTTTCAACCAATAAAATCCCATCAGAAGGTTTGTTTGATAAACAATCATTACAAGAGAAAATACCGGCAAAATATTTGGCAGATATAGTTGCAAACCTACCACATTATTTTTGGACCATTTAGAAAATAACAATAACTCCTGCAAACTTGAGAAAAAGATTTTTGTGAGCCAGCATGAAATTATTTTCTAACTTATGAAAATCTTGTATTCAAAAAATTCACACCTCTATGTGAAATTAAATTTTGAATCCCCTTACAGATATAAAAATAGAAGCATACTGCTTCTCAAGGTTCAAAACAATTTCTGAGGCCAGTTTGATCTACCTGTGTGTACATGCACATACACAATGGTAGAGATGACAGCCAGCAGCCTGCTGATTAAGGCTTTTGTCTACACACTAACAGAAACATTAGGCTGACCGTCATAAAGTAAGTGTCCATACATATCACTCCAAAATAAGAATGCTTTGTTACTTGATAAAAACAAACACAAACTTCACTGCAAGGAAAATTGAACATTTTATTGTTATTGTATATTTCTGAAAAGAATATATAAATGTTATTTCAACTGATATTTTGATCCTACTTTTCCTTCAGAAAAAAAAAATTTTATGTTTCATTTGAAAGATGTTTTGTTGTTGCTAAATGTTTGGAATCCAACACTCAGATAAAAACAAATGTTTCGGTAGATGGATCACAACAATGGAATGGCTCTTTTAGCAAAAAATATGAGTTTAGACCATCCGGCTCTGTGACATAATGAGTGATAATGTAAATCTCTAAATGAATACATAAACTAAGTTACAGAAATTGGAGAAGTGGGTGAATAATGTCTGATATTAATGGTATCTCTTATCAAATATTAACAAAACTACCAAAATTCATTTGAAGTTTGACTTCATTATTTGGCATCTTAAAAGCACACTTACAGCATTGAATTCATGAATCAACCAAGATTCAAAGGCACTATACAAAATGGAAGTGGCAATTCCTCCAAGGATCCGTCCACAGAACAATATGTAAAAGTTAGGAAAATGCTGCAGGAAAGAAAACAAAAACCATTTATATATATTCTATAAATTCATACAAGGCTAAATTTTGTCTGGGTCTTCCCACCTTCAGTAGAACAAAATAGCTTAGTTCATACTGAAAATATTTAATATATATATATATATTATATATATATTATTAACAAATGGTGTTTAAAACATTAGTGTTAATATTTAATTTGCATAACAATTTTTAAAAGTATATCTTAAGAAATCCTTCATTTTTGTTATTTATTTCTAATTCAAATTTAAAAAATTGCCATATATAAACAATGTTTGAGTCGATAAAGTTTTTTTTTAAATTCATGTTTGTATACAAAAGAATATATACTTGATTTGTCATAATTCAGTCGTGTTAGAAAAAATATCAGTGTGTTTACATTTAAATAAATTGTAACCTAAATGTAATCTTTGCTTCTAAAAATAATTTTTTTAAAAAGAAATGGAGACACAATAAATAATTTGAAAATATAAAAATCTTTATAGAATTCTGTAATTTTAGCATTTGTAGTAACCGTTGTTGTTTGATATTTCACATTATTACAAATTAATTGAGTAGAGCTGAAAAAGATTCATGGAATTATCTAAAAAAGACAAAGTAATTTTTAATTGGATTTTCTTAAAACTGTACCAAATTATTTAAACAAGTGAAAAAATAGTAAGTTTGCTGAATTAATCATTATTATTACTAACACAAACATTAGAAAATTATTCAAATGTTTCTCTCATGGTCAGTCATGTGTAGCTATGTCCAAAGTAAGAAATTCAAGTGAACTTAACATAATAACAAAAAAGAACTTTAGAAAATAGATACCATGCTGAAAATGTTTATACAAAATTTGTATAGAGGTAACAGAACTTCTGTTCATAGGATGGGTATTTGGCTAGTTTATATGAATATAAACACTTTACTAATAGAATATATATTATATATACCTTTTACAAATAGAAATTTCTTAGTGTGTATGGATGTGTGCATCTGATTGAATCAATAACAGAAAATGAACTCACTTTTGTAACACATGACAAACAGTACAAAATACCATAGATGATGCAGTTGAAACGACGCCCACTAAAAGTAGAAAAGAATACACAGTCATAAAAATAAAACATTAACATAAATTAATTTATAATTGGACAATACAAGATAAAATATACTTAATGCACATATATGAAAAAAATAAATTGACACTAAATAAGAAACTTTATATAACAACAATTCAGGAACATGAAAAAAAGAATTTAGTAAACTTGCAATTAGCAAATTTTTATTTTTTTTTTTTAAACAATTTTCAAGTGTTTATCAGGTTTGCTATCTTCACTTATCCCTTATCTAACCCAACTGCAGTCAAAACATTACACAAATCTTTTGTAAAAGATTTTTGCGACATTTTCAATAAGATTCATATCAGGAAACTGACTTATCGCTGAAAGTCACTTTATGAACTTGTAATTCTCAAATCCTGTTTGTGTTCTGCTCTACTAAAAGAGTATTTCTTTTTGTCTACATAAATATCACACTTTGTTATTTATGCAACAATAAACTGCTATTAAATGATCTATTTTAGAAGAGAAACTTTCTATGAATTCACCAAAATCAGTCAAATGTGTTAATAATTTTAAAATGGATAGGGATGACCTCAATTATAGTTGAAAGCAATTATAAATTATTTTAATCTAAAGGATTACTGATTTTATAAATGAATAAGCAGACTGTACTATTAAAGATTTTATAGTTTGAAATGATAATTTACAATTTATCAGCAAAAGAACCAATGAAGGTGCCAAATAACATGCTGGACCCAAATCCAGCTACAAACAGCAGCTCGATCTGGTGAACTGTCATGCCATAGCTTTCATAAAGAGCATAAACATGGGGACCCTGCAGCCAGTCTCCAGCTGAAAGACAAAACAAAAAAATGTTTTAAGACAATTTATCAAAATTAAAGAATAAAATATTACTTTTCTTGTCTGTTTTTATTCAACAACAAATGTGTTTTTAGATAAAGAGAATTAACTGCTATACCATATTTGTGACACACAAACTTCAAATTTTATCAAGTTCACCATGTTAAAAGAATGTATTGTACTGGATATTTCTTTCCACAAATTGAACGAACAGACTAAAGCATCATTAGATAGCAGTTAATAAAATATTCCTCTCTTTGATCCTTACTAATAAAGTTTCATTTCATTATACTGTGTGCCAAATAATTAATGTTAACTATTAAATTTTACTTAAAAATTATTTATTTTCAGTGTATGCAAAGATGAAGGTTTAAAGAAAAAGAATTGCTATATATCATTTCAGGGAAGTTTCACCACACTGGAGATGTCACTATAAATTGTACTTTCGCGGTGGGTATGAAATAATAACAACTCCCTTTACTCACTCCCTTCAAATTCGAGCAAGCTGAAGAAAAGGATGGAAAGAAATTCACAAGCCTATGTGAAATCTTCTTTGGACCAATGAAAACCTTGTTTTCACAGGAATTAGCTATTGAGCCTAGAAAAGGGAAGAAAAGAAAATAGTGAGTCTATGTAACTTCCTTTTTGTTATAAAATAAAGAAAAAAATTAAATCAACAGAAAAGTCTGAAGTAATATGAAAAGTTTTATTTCTGTTTACGCATCCAGCATTTAGATTTTCGCCAGTGTGAAATTACTCACTAATTATATTATTGGCCTTAATGAAGCACTTAGCACTTCAGAGAACTTTATTTCAACAATCCAAGAAAGCCAAGTATTTTAAACTATCTCTCTTTGTATACTTTTAAATGTACGCAAACCATATATCCCTTCTGTGAATAACAAACTCTCTTAGCATTGCTTTAAACATTTTTGAATACTATTTTGTGTCAGGTCATTTAATCTGTTATATGAAACTTTCCTCTTCATGACAATTCATTGGAACTATGGGCTTTAAAAATTTCTGAGTCATTTTCCTGAAATGAGCTCTTGACACGCCAGGCATGTAAATTTGTAAATAAATTACTTGTTTTGTTAAAAATTACCCGTATGTTTCCTCATTATTATCAGCCTTCATTAACCTTCTTGGCGTGGGTAAATCATTTGTTCCTTTTAACTCCAAATTCCCATGTCACTATACTTTGTGCTTTTTGCATATTAAATCCTAGTAAAAATAAACACAAATGTAAATTACTTGTATATACTTAATTTTACTATATGTTTCTATGTATCAGTACTCTTCATTATCAAAACAAATTCAATGCCAGCTACCATTAGGAGTAAGAATAATTACATAAACAAATAATCATTTTCTTCAACTGAGATAACTTTGGCAGAGACATTGAGGTGAAACACAAGAACATTTAAAATTCATTATAGTGAATTTAGTTTTTCATAAATCCAAGTTCATTTAACATTTATTTTTTAAGCAATATGGTAAATATCAAAATAGAAAAAATATTTAAATCTATGTGCCTATGTTAAGTATCATCAATGAAGTAGATTATCTAGTACCAAAGAATTTCATTTGATTACTAATGATTTGAAAAAGGTTAAGTACTAGTCAGTTATGCGCCATGCATGATACATGCTTAGGCGATCATGTATCTTTTGATACATGATTGACAATGTAGATCTTTTTCCCCGCAGTAGGTTGCCATTTCTTTCTCTGGTAAACCAGTTGCCATCCAAGGCTATAGAACCCAGTCTGTCCTGCTATTTACCCATAGCTGGGGGGGGGGAGAGAAGAGGATTGATACCTTTCCCAAGGGTATTAGCACGTAAGTGAATGTAATGGATTTGACTAGAATGACTAGAATTCAAACTCCGATTCCTCAATCTGAGCTGCTGTCCACTGTACTAGTTGATTAAAATAATCAGAACTGAGAATGATTCTAGCCTCTATCTCAGAGCCACTCACCTGACAGTGTTCTAAAAGACTTACAAGTAAATCTATATATTGACTAAATGTAATATTATGCATTATTAAAAATTAAGCCAGGTAATTATTTTTTTTATTTGCACAAAATAATTCCCACTACTATCAACAAAGAGAATTAAGTGACACCATTAAAATGCACAGATTTATATTAAATCAAAACATTTTTTTTCAATGAAGCATGTAACTTGGAGCTTTCTCAGCAAAAGTTCATTTAAAATAGAGATTTAAGTTTTACTATTTTGCTTTCTTCAAAAAAGATTCAAAACATTGAACATAATATGGCTGTGAACAAAAAAAAAAAAGAAAAACGAGCCCCTCTCAATTATATGTGGAACATTTTATTCATAGATGCAAACCGAGTAAACTGGTTTAGACAAAATGTTTTACTAAAATTGTTTTGCAAGCAAAATAATTATCAGAACAGTTGCAATGTTATTTCTAGAAAAATTACTCTCTTTCTTGATCATCATCTTGTACTTTATCTTCTCTATAGATAAAGAATTTTCTTTGTCTTATTATCCATTAGTGTTACCTCTCAAACTATTTCTATGTATAAAATTTACATGTAACACTTTAAAAATGACAGGATTTCTTAATCTTTATCCAAAACAGATACAAATATTTATAGCTGTATTCATTGCATAATTTTATTCTAACCTTTCACAAGCAATTGAATCTTATAAAAGTAGGTCATAAAACTATACTATAGCTCTGTCTTGATTTATCTGGGAACATAAAAAAAATCAGATTAAAAATATCAATACTGGTAAAAAGAAAAAGCTTACTGAAAAGGTTCCCACATTTATGTAAACAAAAGCAAATTTTTAAGTACAGAATCAGTATTCATAAAGCTTTTATTTTAGGAGAGAATGAAAACAAGAAAAAGATAACTTGTGTAAGAGTGATGTTTTTTTATTAACACAAAAGTTTCAATGTAACCCTTTATTAGCCTATTATAATTGTGCTTGTCCCTGCCTTTGTTAGTTTGAAATACCTCATAAATAATGGACTATTCTGTTTTGATTGTGTGGAAAGAGGGGAAAAGACACTACTTTTCAGTGAGAAAATGAAAGCAAGAAAGGAAGATAGAAGTGAAAGAATCAGATTAAGCTGATTCTGAACAGATACCCCACTTTGATCCCAGTCAAAAGGCTGACAAGCAACAGTAACAAAACCATAATTTTTCAGATGCACAGTATTGAATGACAGAAATTAAGTAAAGCAATCACCAAAAATAAGTTACAATAAATAAAATTAAAATATCATATGCTGAATTATTTTAAATTATTATTCCTGACAATATTTCATAAATAATGGACTATTCTATTTTGATTGCATAGAAATACAAAAGACATTTCAGTGAGAAAATGAAAGAAAGAAAGAAGGGAAGATAAAATGGTTTAACAGCTGTTTTAGTGAAATGGAAAAGTTATCAATTTCAAATCTTCCTTTGTACACACTTCTTAAAATAACAATCAGCATTCATATTTATGATTGTTATTGGAATATTTTGTTAAAGTTGTTAGGTGCAAATATTTAACAATGTCATAGAAGAATTTCTACAGATAGTTTATTGTTGTAGAATTTGCCATGCACTTATTCAATCATTAACTGAAGAATTAAGATTAATCAGAAAATTCAAATAAGAAAACCATGAAATTTTCACAAATCTTTCTAGTTGTTATAAGTAGCACAAGAAAACAAACAAAACAAGTCCTACTGGCGAGACAAAAGAAAAGGAAGACAAGAATTTTTAATTAATATAAAATTCTTTGTATTGCCAATACAGAAAATGTAAGCAGAATGTTTCTTTGTAGGAAAGGTATAGTTAGTAGGGTCTGGAGTTGATGCATGTCAGGTTGGTTAATCGAGGTCACTGGTGGTGATAAAATTGTAAATGTTTGTAATGTTCTATGCTTCAGGATCGAGTAAATTATTCAGAGCAATACACACCATTTTCTACAAAATGTATCAAAAGTAGTCAAAATATAATAGCTGATTCTATGTCATAACAGGATACTGTGATACAAGTAGATGTTGATTTGCCAAAAAAACATTTAGTTTAATGATAATATGTGATGTTTCCACTTCTTATCCTAGACCTTTCATAACAACAGCTTTGCATAAACCTATTGTTGATAGCCTTCATTAATTTTTTCATCTTGGTACTCGATAATCCATAAAGTTAGTTAAACCCATATACTATTGGCCATGCATAAATCTATAAAAGAGTTTTGCATGGTGTGTATCTTACCAAAGTCAAAAACTAATATACATACAAGACTCCTCACCAATCAAAATTTTCAATTATTTTCAACACATTTTTAAGCTGCCCATATAAGTATTGTTGAATCACTTCCTTCAGTCCATAATATTATAACTTATAATGGACTGAAAGAAGTGGTTCAGCAATATTTATATGGGCAGCTTAAATAAATATATTTTAACATGTGCAAGTCATTGGGCTGGGACTCAAGCAATAACAGAAATTACTGCACTATCAGGATCAATTGATGTAAAGTATATAAAAAGGAAAATTTTAAACCAATTGTAATTGTTTTGAGTAAATCAAACCTTCGAGTTTGTATATCCTGAAAAACAAATAATTCCAAATAGAAAAGCAAAGCAGATAGAGATCAAGGCTCAACAACAACTAAAACAACATGCTAGTTTCTCGAAATGAATAGTATTCACTCAATACACTTGTACTTTATTTTCATGGAAAAAAATTAAATGACTGATAATTACTAATTTTACTAAGTATGAAATTTTCCATCAGACATATGTATTTTTCTAAAATCAACAGAAAATCAACTTACACCTTTGCAAAATGTAAAATTAGTTTTAAATTTTACCACAATTATTTGAATTTTATTTACTATATTAATTGTAACTAACAAATTCTTAACGTCATTCTATATGAATGCTTGTAGTGTTCTTTCTGAATGTGCATGTGATGTCAGATCTGTTTTGTCATTTAGATCTTTATCTGTAAGAGCTAATAAAAAGTCTGATAAGGTTGATAATGTCAAGTTGGCAGCTGATCTAAAAAAATGTCCAATCTATTAACTGGGGCAAGAAATGGCTTGTTAATTTTAATGCCTTCAAGATAAAACTGTTCTATTTTAATCATAATAGGAACCATTTTGCTTTCCAGGAGAGAGATTCATTATGTCTTTTCAGGCTAACATTTTCTGCTGATACAAGGTGGAAAGATTATATGGAATTAGTTGCTAGGTCTGCTGCTAGGAAAGTTGGTTCACTGTGTCTCGATGCCAATTTTTCTTACAGATTTATAAGGCTACCATTCATCCATCCATTAAATATCAATCACATCTGGTCTTATGCTTTTGCTAGAGATTAGTATTTAGAGATTCTTGATGAAATCTAATGAAGAATATGCAATGTTATTGGTCCTGACCTGGCTTCAGTCACATTCCTACTGCTGTAACATAGCTTTCCTGCGCTAATTTCTATAAATATTTTCATGGTAATGGTAATTGTTCTGATGAGTTTCTCCTCTTTGGTACCTAGACTTTACAAATGTAAGCACAGTACTAGATTAGTAGTTAGGTTTCATCATTTTACAGTTGAAAATGCTAGAAGCTACTGTAAGTTCTATGCAAATAATTTCCTTTCTCGCACTTCTCACTTGCGAAACTCTTCTGGCTTCTTGCTTACCAGTCAACTTTGGTCTTCAAAAATTTAAATGCAATGTCAATCGTTATTTTTTAATTCGTGTTCCTTAGCCTCTCTCCTTAATAATTTTTTTCTTATATTCTTTCATCCTCAGTAGCCTCTACTTGTGTCTTAGCGGCTTTATTGCTTTCTTTAAGGTGAAATAATTTTAAAAAAATAGATAAATAAATAAAAATAACTTACTTAACCCACAAAGATGATTTTCATTTTTCACTCGTGTTTACCTGGGACAGACTCAACAACGTTAATATTTGATTGAAATTCATTAAGGTGGTTAACCTAGTTAAGAATGAATTTAAACAATTTTGCTGCAGTAAAATAAAATACTAAAACTTAAATGTTTAAATTTGATTCTGACAGTTAATGTATCTAAAAATAAAATTTTTAAAGTATTTTTTTTCTTTTTGACCATCAGTGTCTGAAGCAAAAATTACTTTACAAACTTTACATTTTACAATCCTATGTAGTGACTACAGTTTCAATAATTCATTATAGCAAAAAAAAAAAAAAAAGTTATCAAATAAACTTTATGTATATTCAAATAATATTATAAGAATGAACTACAAATAAAAGTTTAAAAGTGATAATTTGCAGTTAAGGAAGTCACTTTTTCTGCCCATACGAAGAAGAAGAGTAATGTTGAGGTAAAAAAAAAATCTATTCTTTTTCTCTCACTAAATAAAAACAAGCTATTATTAAGTTTCACTGATATTCTTTCTTGCGTGTTAAATAGGTGATTTTTTTCCCACAATCTCAAAAAAAGAAAAAATCTTGAAGTGGTCACAATAATAAATTTTCTACATTTGATTTCATTTAATTAAAATGTTTTATGATGTAGTTGAAAAAAAAAAAAAATCAATAGTTAGTATATATTATATTATAATTATATACGATATAAAAAAAATTATAATACAAGTCTAGTTCTGCTTATTCCTTGTCACTTTCTTCAGTTGTTTTACTTTTTGGAGGGAGGAATATCGTTGTCTTTCTCTTATAATTTATTTTATTTTATCGTTACAGTGCAATTTAATTTTTTACTTTTTTTCTTCAACTTGGTTGACGGTATTTTTTGACGTTCTATTTCCATATTAAAATTTCTTTCCGTCTAATCACCACCATAAAACAAATTAATTTGCTCTGGGTGTCATTAGATTGGGAAGTCACTAAGTGCATCTCCCAATCGATGAAAGATTGACACACTATTTTTCCTTTTCGCAGTTTTAGTTTTGTGACTGTATGCGTAATTTTTAATCTTCCTATAGTTTAAATTCCTGACAAAAAATGTCTACATATTCTTGTAAAACATAGCATTGAAAACCACACAAAAATACTTTTTTTTCTTTCTTCGGAGAAACATGATTGTGATTGTCATTTTTACTTTTACATTCCAATAAGGACCATACGTAACTTGTACCTCAACTAATTTCGCTTCTTAATTCAAACATAAACAAATGAAGAAATTTAACATTATGGGTCAGTTTTACTAGAGTAATAAAAAAAAACGCTGACAAGCAAGTTAGAATTTGATTTGTCTTCTTAGCAATCAAAATTCGTATTAATTTCTCTATTTATTCAAATAACGATTGTTTTGATGTCTATCGTTGTGGTAATGACGAAGAAGAGAAGATAGTGTTGTTATGAAAACAATAATATTTCTACTAAAAGACCGTGTTGTTTTTTTTTTTGTTCTAACAATTTTTCATCTAATAAATAAGCTGAAAGATTAAGATGGTGATAATTAAATTATGGTATTTGTTTTTTTTTTACTTACCCATGGCCAGCAGATAAACAATTATGTAAGTCCTTTTAAATGTGTAGAAGGAATGGTCCTTAATGAACACTTGGACGGCACTTCTAGTATAAAGGTAAAAAGCTCCACACACCACCACCAGAAACCAGAAGCTTACCACAAAAAAAGACATTTTCCCTGTGTTTTTTTATCAATGTCCTTCAAGAAGATCAAGCAATAAATGATGTTTACGTTTTACAATTTTAAAATATTTTCTTTTGATGAAATTTGATTTGTTTTTGCTTTTATGAACTTTGTAATATTGTCATAATGAATAGAATACTACACCGGGTTTAAAACACGATGATTTTTTTTTATAAAACTAAAAGTAAAAAGAGCAATATCTGACGACTTTTTATCCTTAAGGTAAATTGTGAGGAGTAGACTTTTTTTTAGTTTGTGTTTTGAAATACTCACTGGTAATTAGTTAGGAAGGTAAGGTTTAAAAAAAATTTTAAATTAAAAAACAAGCGTTAAGAAGAAAAACGATAATTGTTTATGTTTAGTTTACTTAATGTTTCTTGTAAGCACCATTTAAAGGAGCTAAATGATCCTCTATTTTTAACATTTCCATTAAAAAAAGTAAACTTTTTGTGACTTGAACTTTCTTTAAAAAAATGTCATTTCTTTCTAACTAAATTAATTAAAAAAAATGTACATAGAAAGAAACCAAACTTGAAATATGACAAATGAATTGCTTAACTGGGCTCCTGGTTTTTAACTATTAAATCCAATAAGGAAAAGCCTGCTCGCAACAGTTGATCTGATACTATGTACTTAGTTCCTCATTAATAAACAAAACACGGCCAGCAATACATGCGAATCGTGTTGTCGTGCCGTTGCTAGAGACGTCTTTCCTATCACTTGGTCAGCAGGTGGGTGCACTGCCTCGCCAGACTTCATAGCACTCAGAATCAAAGAACAAAAAGAAGAATCCAATGTTTTTAAAAAATTGCAAGAGCACTTTTTAAAGTTTGTAGTTTCAGTGCGTAAATAACTAAACTACCTTGGTAAATAATAATTTAAAATTTAGATAACAAACGCGACTTGAGAGGCTAAAAAAAAACTATTTTAAATTTTTAATATTTGAACCCCTATCACTTCGCTTCTGCTGCTACCGTGTTTTTACTGTTTCAGTGTTTATGGTTCCCTGTCCTATTATTAGTGGCTAACGTTAATGGTTTACGCCTTTTTTTTTTTTCATCCGGTTAGTTGTAAAAAAAAGAAAAAGAAAAAATTAAGACTTGAAATCAAATCTAAATATTAATTTATTTTCGTAATAGAGAATGTTAATGTAATTATTCTTTGAGTTGCCCAGTATGAGACAGCTCTTCAGAAAGATAATCATGGAAAATTAAATTATTCATTTCTTTTCTTCAAATAGCAAAAAAGTTTTAAAAATAGCTATTGATGTTGAAAAACTAAAAAATAATAACAGTGAAGAAGCAGGATAGGAACAAATAAAGAATGTTAATTCAGATTTTACGTTTAAATTACACTTTTGTTATTCACTTCTGATACTTAGTTCGTGTTCTGTTTTTTTATAGACCGAGCAATGTATATTTTTTGACTTCTTAATCTTAACCCTCCATTCCGCCAGTAAGATAATGAACTTAAAGTCAAGATACACCTTTTTTAGACAGGTTCAAAAGGTGATTATTAAGCAAGTGTGTGTAGTAGCATATTTAAAAGAAATAAAAGATAAAGAAAACAGATACTTTTCAAAAAGTGCATAACCTGACCTGCTGAAACTATTGTAATTTTTTTTTTTAATAAAAAAAAAAGGAATTATTTTAAAATTCATAGTGGAAGCAGAATAGAATTCAAGTTTATCGATATCGTCATCGACCCCAAAAAGCAATATCAATCAAAATCACTGAACTATTTAATTTCTGAATCATAAATTTTTTTCAGGCTTACGGCGACTTCATGTTGAAAGACCGGTTCCCGTACGATCATCAAAGTTAAGCAACGTCGAGACTAAATGGGTGACCGCTTGAGTGTGTGTCGTGTGTATGACATAATGGAAAATGTCTCGGAATTTTAATCAGAGATTCCAATTCCTGTTGGGTTGTTATATTCACTTACGCACGAATATGCACCAATACAAATAAATCCATCTCTTCTACCCCCACCTATGGATTAATAGATCAATCACATGAAACTTTAATGCATTTAACATTGCAAAAGCAAAGTTTTTGCTAGGAGGTTTTCAATGTTATCAAATACTTTACCACATTCTTCTTGAGGTTGCATCTTTTTAAATGTACAGGGTGTCCCAGAATAAATGTAACCCAAGAATGTGAATTTTTTTTTTTTAAGCATTACGCCCCAAGCAAGGCGTGAAGCTACTAGGATGCAGGGGGTTCCAGAAGATTTGGAGCGAGAGCAGATAGGAGAGATAGCAGAATAGGATGAGGAGAAGGATAGTGGGTAGATCAAGGTAACTGGAGGTGTCGATTGACATTACATTTGAATAGTTGGAGATTATAGCTCTCAGGGAAACAGTAATTGGGAAGGGTGTTCCACAGGCGAGAGGTGTGAGGTATGAAGCTATTGGAGTAGATGAGACGGCTACATTTAAAATTTTCTACAGTGTAAGGGTGGGAGCAGGATGCCAGCCTCGTAGAGCGCTTGAATTCATGGAGTCTGGGGACCAGTGAAAGCAGCTCATCGAAGCAATTACCATGAAAGTATTTGTAGAAAAGACAGAGAGAGGCAACGGCGCGTCTGTGAGAGAGTGACTGTAGATGAGATGCCAGATCAGGGCCAATTATATTACATATCTGTCTCTGGATCTTGTCAAGAACTCCGAGGTATACAGAAGGTGCCCCAGACCATATATGGCAGCAATACTCCATGCAAGGGCGAATGGTTAATTTGTATATTTGAAGTATTGAATCCGGAGAGAAAAATTTCCTGGCGCGGCACAGAGAGCCAACTTTCCTCGCGGTGGAAGAAGCAATTGACTCAATGTACTTGTTGCATCTCAGGTCAGCAGTCAACGTGATACTGAGCAGACGCAGGGAGTTGCTCTCAAGAAGTTGACTATCAGACATTCTAATGGGGGGCAGGGAAGGATCTCTATGGTGATTAATAGAGAATAGTTTAGTTTTTGAGGCGTTAAAGTTGACCAGCCAATTCTTGCCCCAATTAACAACCGATTGGAGGTCCATTTCAAGACGCACGGCCAGGTTAGTTTTGTCACCGACACTAGATTGGTTTTTGAGACAGGAGTAAATTGTAGTGTCGTCCGCGTAGATGCCAACTTGGGAATCTATGGCGTCAGGAAGGTCGTTGATGAAAATAAGCAATAGAGTGGGGCCAAGGATGAAGCCTTGGGGAACACCTGCATTCGTGGGATAGGAACTGGAGGAGAATCCGTTGTGAACGACCTTCAGTTCACGGTTTGACAGGAATGCTTGTATTAGATCAAACAATCGACCTGTAATACCATAACCCTGGAGCTTACGAAGAAGGCCGGCATGCCAAACCCTATCAAACGCTTTGGAGATGTCTAGGGCCACGGCACGAGCCTCACCGTTATTTTGAAGGGCTTGGTAGACGGTTTCAGTGATGGCCGTAAGCACATCAGCTGTAGATCGGGTGTAGCGGAAACCATATTGCTTGTCTGAGAGCAGATCATGGGATGTAAGGTGATTAACCACTTCAGCATTGATTAGGGCCTCGAAGACTTTGCCGAAGAGGGGTAGGAGACTAATAGGATGGTAATTAGAGGGGTCAGAGGGGTCTCTAGAGTTCTTAAAGACAGGAACAATGGATGAGGACTTCCAGCAGTCAGGAAAACAGGATTCCTTGAGGCAGTAATTATACAGTTTAGAGAGGGCGGGCGCTAGCTCAGGCGCGCATTTCTTCAAGACAATGGCTGGTATGCCATCTCCACCACTAGCCTTGTGGGGGTCTAAGTTGGAGATAATGCCCAGTACTAATGACGGGGTTATGTGTAAGCCGCTCAATAGGGCCTCAGTTCTTGGAGGGAAGTCTGGTATGGGTACACCGGTGGAGTCAAGCGTTGAATTAAATGAGAATTTCCGAGCAAAGCATTCAGCCTTGTCGGTAGGGGAGGTCAAGACCTCGAACTGGTTGAATAACGGAGGTATGGAGGGTTTTCTATTGTTTAGGACACTCTTGCAGAGCCGCCAATTATCTTTGGAGCCAAATTTGCAAGATGCAATACGCTCCTTCAGCCAAGCAGAAATAAGAGCTATATCAAAAGAAGAGTGCATTCAAAGTCATCAACAACTTTGCTCATAGAATTTGTGTCTTCAGCAGAATGGAGCACCTTTGGAGCATATTCTATAAATGATGATAAAATCTTTGCCAGTAGAACTAACTTCTCTAGTTTTCAGAAATATAAGGTTTGTATATACTTTGTAAACAGAAAATAAATGGCTCCAAAGGTGCTCCATTTTGCTGAAGACACAAATTCTATGGGCAAAGTTGTTGATGACTTTGAATGCACTCTTCTTTTGGTATAGTTCTAGAACCTCATTTGGGAGTTCTGAACCCCAGAATACATTGTTCTTACTATTCACATGGCCTGAGAATAGAAAATGTGTTTCATCTGTGAATCATACATTATTGAGAAAGTCTGGCTCATTTTCAATCTTGTCTGAGAACCATTTGCACATTGCTCTCTTTTCCTTATCAGCAGCAGTTAGTTTTTGTTTTACTTGTATTCTGTAAGGATAAAGATGAAGATCTATGATCAGAATACACTGAACAGAGGATTTGGTGAGGCCAACATCCTGGCACTGTCTATGGATAGATTTCTTCAGACTCCTGTTACTGAATCTTGAACAGCTGCTATGTTTTCAGGAGACCTTAAAGTAGGTTTTCTGCCAATTTTGACTGCTGTTATTGATTGTCCCTATAGCCTCAAACTTGATCCACTGGTAAATGTCAGTTTTGCTAGGGGTTTTATTCTTGTTATACTTTCTGTGGAATTTCGCAATGGCATGTTTATAGGAATTTCCCTCCAATTTTCTCAGCACACAGAAAATTTTCTGTTCTTCTGTAAAAGGCATTGTAGTTGGTGTTCTGGTTTTGCTCTCTTCTCAGCTATCTAAATCTGAAATATAAAAGCAAACTATTAAAAGTCAACAAAATTAT